GTATCAATAGAAAGGAATTCAGATCCCAAGTGTCTATCAACATATTGATGAATAGACAAGCTGCAGTATATTTTGCAATGGAATATTACTCAACAATAAAAGGGAGCAAACTATTGATAATTACAGTGCATGAAAAAAAATCCAGGTCAAAAAGAGAAAAAAGAAGACATACTGTTTATAGTTAGTTAGTTTATAAGTTTATGTGTAACCCTAGTTTATACTTATCCCTAGTTTATAATCTATCAAGTATGTACCGAATAGATTAAATGTTTAAATGAGATCCCCCCCAAAACATAACAAACAAACAAAACTTGTGGAAAGAGGAGGATTTTATAAGTATAATTTTAAAGACGAAGAATGATAGCATTTTTATTTTTATTTATTTATTTATTTTTATTTATTTATTTTTTTTTTGAGACGGAGTTTCGCTCTTGTTACCCAGGCTGGAGTTCAATGGCACGATCTCGGCTCACCGCAACCTCCGCCTCCCAGGTTCAGGCAATTCTCCTGCCTCAGCCTCCCGAGTAGCTGGGATTACAGGCACGTGCCACCATGCCCAGCTAATTTTTTGTATATTTAGTAGCCCCTGCTACTCGGGAGGCTGAGGCAGGAGAATCTCTTGAAGCTGGGAGGCAGAGGTTGTGGTGAAACAACATCGTGCCACTGCATTCCAGCCTGGGCAACAGAGCAAGACTCTGTTTAAAAAAAAAAAGAAAGAAAGAAAGAAAGAAAGAAAGAAAAAGAAAACTTAAATGCACAAAACTATGAGAAAAAAGCCAATCTGAAAAGACTGTATACTGTGTGATTCCAATTATGTGGCATTCTGGAAAAGGCAAAACTGTGGATACCGTAAAAAGGTCTGTGGTTTCAAGGGTTAGTGAAGAGGAAGGGATGACTAGGTCAAGCATAGAAGATTTTTAGGACAGTGAGAATTCCCTCTATGATTCCATAACAATGGGAACATGTCCTTACCCATTTGTCCAAAGCCATAGAATGTATAATACCAACAGCAAAGCCTAATGTAAACGATGGCTTTTGGGTGATGAGTGCCATTGTAGGTTCATTGATTATAACAAACGCCCCACCCCGGTTGGGGATGTTAATAGTGGAGGAGGCTGTACATGTGTGATGATGAGGGTATGTGGGAAATCTCTGTACTTGCTGCTCAACTTTTCTGTGAACCAAAAACTTCTCTAAAAAATAGCCTATTTTTAAAAGTAGCTTAAACAATTAGGATACTTATTGTGTCCCAAATCAGGGGTCTGGCGGGCAGAGAGGATTGAGGGTTGGTTCAATGGCTAAAGGTGCCATCAAGGACACAGATGCTTCCCATCTTCTGGCTCTGTCTCTATGTTATAAAAAGTGTTGCATTTGTTGTAGAAGTCACACATGCCGGCACAACCACGTCCAGTAAAAATGAACATACTCCTTCCTATGTATCTTGTTTCAAGAGAAAGAAACGCTCTCCTGCAAGCTCCTCATAGACTTCCTTTTGGGTCCCAATTGTCAGGGTTGAGTCTCATATCCATAATCTGACTGCAAGGAAGGGAAAGGCTGCAGGGCAAGCACTCACTGAGGTCACACAGGCACTTGCAGAATTCTGTGCCTTTACTTGTGCTCCTTCCCTCTCACTTATCTTGGCTCTCCCTTGGCCCACCTTTTATCCCTAAGAGCATTCAGGAATCCTCCGTGCAGGTTCCTCAGGCTTTTCTATGTAACTTCATCATCCCTCTATGTAGACTTTTGTGTGTGTGCATCTGTCTTAACAGCCAGACACGAGCTTCTGCAATCTCTCTTCTTCAGGGGATCCCAGGGAACTTGCACAGGGCTTGGTGCACAGCCATGCTTAAAATGTGGTCTTGGATGGCAGAAAAAAACAGATGGAGCTTTTCCCATCCTGGGGAGGACACAGAGGCCACAAAGGCATGGAGGCAGCTTCAGTACAAAAACAAGTGAAAAACACTAAAAGGTTTCATTACAGAAATAGCAGAAATGGTCAAAATCTATCATTGTAAAGGATATAACTGATGATCTCAGAAGAATACATGTGGGAACATCATTCCGAAATGAAAAGGAGAGCACTGTAGGGCAGAGACAGCACAGCTGGACTCACAGAACAGAATTATCACATTCTTCATTTACCATGTGAAACTTACTAGCTCTAGTAGGTTATTCAAGAAAGACTACAACAATTATTTTTAAAATAGAGATGTGGTCTCACTCTGTTGCCCAGGCTGGTCTTGAACTCCTGGACTCAAGGGATCCTCTCACCTTGGCCCCCTGAAGTGCTGGGATTACAGATGTGAATCACCACACCAGGCCAGAGCAACTTTTAAGGGGTTAAAAGCTACTAAATGGACAAAGTGACAAGTCATGTCTATGTCAAGCCATGCAGCTTCACAAAACACCTTCTCTCTATGCTGGTTTTCTAGAGGAGTTCCTGGGCTAGGTGCTTCATGGGTCTGAAGTGAGACTAGTGTTGTCTATGCTTCTGTGACTCAACAAATCTAAAACCACTTCTGCAGGGCAGAGATTCCTTGATGGCAGGAGGAAGAACTGAAGATGCTCCTGACCTTAGGGTCATACAGTAATTTCAGCAGTGACTACTCCTTGCTGACCCCCTGAGGCAGAATCCCAGAGATGCTCTGGAAGTTCAGGCTCTTATTTCAGCTGGTCAATGGCCCTGGCGTGAAAATCAGGATGGTTTCTGCTTCTCAGGCCCTCTTAACCAATCATGCTGTTCTGAGGCTATTCTTCTGAGAAGTGGATACTCAGAGTCCAGCTCACTAATTGCAGACTTTCAAAATTATTGAACAACATTTGAGTTGATCCAGTTAAAATTTCCAGTTGAGCATAGCTTTTCCATTTTCTAAGTTCTCCAGGAGTGCAGTAAAAAAAATCCTGCCGCACCCTCTGAATTTCATCTACCTGGATCACTGCCCCTCCACCTTAAGTTGCACACATTTGTAGGGGTCTCTGAGTTTTAAACCCAATTGGACTCTCTTTCTCTCTCTCTCTTTCTTTTTTCCTTTCTCTTTACTTTCTTTTTTTCTTTCTTTCTCTCTCTCTCTCCTGTCTTTCTTTCTTTCTCCCTCCCTCCCTCCCTTCCTTCTTCCTCCCTCCCTCCCACCCTTCCTTCTTCCTCTTTCTCCTTCCTTCTTCTTTCTCCTTCCTCCCTCCCTCCCTTCCTTTTTCTTTCTTTCTCTCTTTCCTTCTTTCTTCCCTCCCTTCCTTCCTTCCTCCCTCCCTCCCTTCTCTCTCTCTCTCTCTCTCTCTCTCTCTCTCTCTCTCTCTTTCTCTCTCTCTGTCCCCCTCTCTGTTTTCTTGTATGTATCAGGTTTTCTACTTTTGTCCTGACCAAACCAGGCCACATGATCAAGCCCAGATTAAAACTGGGTGGGAACTACAAAGTTATAAGGCAAAGGGCATGCATGCAGAGAAGTCATTAATTGGGATCTACTACTACAGGGTGGTAAGAGAGACTGAAAATTGATATGGTGGGGAATACCTTAGCACTTACTAAAGAAGTCATCAAGAAGATACAAGGTATCCTGCGAAGGCCTTCCAAAGGAAGGAGATGAGGAAAGACCATTTCAGTTGGAAGAAAGATACATTGTCAGAATAAGTCATTTTAGTGGAGATAGAAACACTTATGTAACCAATTCCCAATTGATGCACGTGGGTTATTCTACATACTCCCTATCACAATCAGTGTTGATGTGGGTACCTAGCTATCTAACTTGTATAGAAAGACGTGTTACATTTGTACACACACATAGGCATACATATATACACTGCACACACATATGCAAATATAAGATAAATTCTTAGAAATAGAATGACTGATTCTAGTAGCTTATAAATTTGTACAGGTATTGTGAAATTGGCCTTTTTCTTTCACTCCCAAGCTTGGGAATTGCTGGGGACTCTCCAAACCATGTCCCTGACTCTACTTTTGGTTGTGGGGTCTGGGAGCCCATTCATTTCCTCTTCCTAGTGCTTTCTTCTAGCAGCTGCCCCCAGGTTTGCTTCCATGACCCAGCAACCTCTGTCTCCATCCCCTTGCTCAGAAGTTTCCATCTCCTCCTTCCCCAGGAGGGCTACAACCACCCTCAGCTTTCCTCCCTCCCGCCTCAGAGAGTACCAACATCTTCTCTCCCTTATCTTTATTCTTCTTTGTGAGGCTGATATGCTAAAGTTTGTCTAGCCTTCTCCAATCTCAAACCACTACATCCCTACTGCTTGTCTTCTCCCTCTCCATTTCCATCCCTAGCATGACGACAAAGGAACCCCGTCCAGGCCAGCCTGTTGGCTTACTCTTTCCCACCTTCCCTCCAGTTCACGCTCCAGCCCACTGAAGAGTGGCGCCCACCCCGAGGCCCCTGCCTAAATGGCTATTCCAAAAACACCGGTGACTTCCCACTCACGAAAGTCTGGGATCATTTCCCCAAGATCCTGCTCACCTCTTCTTCTCCACTTTCTGTTCCCTTCCTTGGGGCCACCATGGCTGCTTCTGGATTTCTCAATCAGACACCCACATTGCAGTCCTGTCCTTGTTCAAATAAAGCATCTCACTTCAACAGCTTTCTTTATCTTCAGGACTGACCTGGCCCCATACATGAAGGACTCATGAGAGGCATGCAATCTGTGTGCCCAGCCCCAGCCCAAGGGTCTATTCTGATCCTTTTTTTAAAAGATAAAAGTTCTTGCGGGTATAATAGGGGTGTTCATCAAAAAGTAAAAAATAATTTTGTAGAAAGTTTTGGAGGCTTTCCAAACTCTCTGAAACGACACAAGCTGGTCCTTTTGACTCGGAAGCTAAGTTTCTAAGATGGAAAGTCCCAGGAGTGGGACACATGAAACCAATTATTCAACCTGTCTGGGGTCATAAGTGCAGAGGTGGCTCCTACGTGCCATCTGCCTCTTTGAGTGTGGATGGCGGATGCTTGTCATTTTCCACTGGCTCCGGTGGACGTGGGGAGTATGGGAATGAGGGGAGGAGAGGAAAGAGGGAGAGAGGACGTGACATCCAGGCTTTCATAACTCACTGTCCTACGTTTGAAAGTATCTGATTTCATTATTTTCTATAATTGATTTCTAGCACATCCATTCTGAGGAAAATGCTAGGAAAAAATATGCTATTCCTGTGTATCAGTGTCACTCTTTGTTGACAGTAAATGACTTAGTCACTTTGTGGGGGAAATAAAGAGGTTGATTCATGGCGATGTGACCCTCTTGCCTCTTCTGGTTCCTTTTTTCTTGCTCTATATCAAGACCCACAGCCCTTGAGAAGTGTATTTCTGCATTCGAAGAAGAACTTGAGAGAAACCTGTAAGTAAACTTTCAGCATAATCTTATTTCTAAAATTGCTTTTTAAAAAGTACTAGTAAATTGGAATAAATAATTTTAATCAGAGCATACTTCAAGGCCCCCTCTGCCCTGACAGTCTCCCTATGTATGAAAGTATCAGAAAGTCTTTTTATGTTGGTATCTGAATATCCTCTGCTCAGGGAAGACTGCAGCACGAATATTCTCGTACTTGCGTAGCTTGCATATACTCGAGCCACCCCTACTTTTGAAGAATGAATCCCCTCAGCTAAGCCTCCTGGCCATTATAAGGAGCCCTAGGCTGGCTCAGTCCTGCCACAGTGGCGACACAGCTCCCAGAACCTGGCACATGCAGCAATGGGCTGGATCGTTCCATAAATGCTATTCTGTTTACCTAGCAGCATTCATTAATCTTTCCTTTCTTGTGTGAAGACTGCTTTCACAGAGGAAGGCATTTGCTGGTTTTCCCAAGGCAAGAGCGATGAAAACAAAGTCATGAGGAGTTCTTTCTACCTCAAAGGAAGGCCTCAGCTCCTGCTCAAGCTATTTTGACTGTCCGAGAGAACAGTACATTCTGAACCACATTGTAGGTTTGCAAGATCTTATTTTTAAAAAAAAGAAAGAAAGAGAGAAAAAAGGAAAAGGAAAAGAAACCCTCCATTCTTCTTTTGTTCCACTCCCAGGTGCTGGGCTTTGATGTTCTGTCTCAGAAGTGACTTCAGAACACCAGCGCCAAGAACCAGCTCTGCTGCTCTCTGCACCTTTAATATCTGAGAGCATGGGTCTAGCAGGGACCTTAGAACTCAGCTGGCCTGTGGGAGCTGAGGTCCAGGAGGTGATGTGACCTATCCAAGGTCACACAGCCTTGCTTGGGTAGAGGCAGACTGGACCACAGGTCTTCCCGTCCGGCGCTGTTTTCCTATTCTGCTCTGCCCTTTGATCGAATTCCTTTTAAAATGAGATTCACATCAAGCCAGTGACGGAGGTTGATGGGCTCAGACTGGGTTCCCGCAGGGACCGGCAGGGCTGGTTGAGGCGTACAGAAAGAACAGAGTGCTTGTCTGTTTGGGTTTATTGTCCCCTGGGGTGTCTGCAGACTGTATCTGGGCTTGCTGAGCATAAGCCATTGGCTTTTGCCCAGGCACAGAGTCAGAATGAACTGGTATCAATGGGAATTGCAGGACATCAGATGAGGCAGGAGCTTTGGAAATGGGGAAAGAGGGGAGGAATAAGATGCTCCCAAGGTCATTGTCTCCTGGCCTTTCCTCCAGAGAAGGCCACATTTCTTTTTCCCACACTTCCAGTAGCAGCCGGCCTGTGGGTTTCTGTTTGCCAGCTCTGGAGCCACATGAGCGATGTGCAGCTTAAACCCTCCTCAGTCTAGAATGCATCTAGGGTGGGCCATTCATGTGGAGGCCTTCATTATTATTTCATGGCTCCATTTTTTATGGCTGCTGACTGGATCTTGTAACTGAAGCAGGGACACATTCATCTGCACCTTGAAAATTGATCTGTGCTCAAAAGGCAGTGCTCAGAAATGCCTGTCTCCTTGATTCATCAAAAAGGTGGGCAAACCAGAGCTCTATGGGTGGGGGTTGTGGGCCCTGTGCCCTCCATGTTGAGCCCTCAGTGCTCCCACTGACACTGAGATCCTCTGCTGGGAAAACAACAGAGGTGTATGCACATTGTGGAGGGGCTGGCTAGCTAGCATGGTCAGCTAGCCCATGTGGAAGTCTGGCTGTTTCTGTTTCCCATGGCAACAGCTTGGCCCTGAATGAAAGCAGGTAAATGTGGGCTCAGGCCGGATGCATACACGGCATACGGCTCTGCAGGGCTCTCAGCTCAAACCAGGCCTCTTCCTCCCCAACCTGGTTCTGCTATTTTCATGTTCCCTTCCACCCAGCCACACAAAAAGGGCTTTAACCCCGTGAAAGAGAGATAGGGCCCTTGGTGGCACTCTGCTGTGGACTCCAGCTAAGGCTTCCCCGCCTGAGGTGTGGTAGAAGCTGCAGTCCTAAGATAAAAGCAAGAAAGTGGTCATTACTCCAGGGACAGTGCTGTTGGTAAAAGCCAGAAACAGATATTGTATCCTGGAGACATAACATGTTGTATCCTGGAGACATAAGCATGTCTCCAAGATGCAATAGATATTATTGACAGTAATAGATATTATTGGCAATGGATGCAAAATGAAGAGAAATTACAGGTTAAAGGGATCATGTAAACTTTTAGAAGCTGCCAGAAACAAAACAAAACAAAACAAAACAAAACAAAAGATGAAGAGGCAGAGGGAGGGACTCTGTAAGTACAAGAGAGGGGAATAAAACAGCAATCTTTGTGCAAAAGTAAACATTTCCAAGGCATAGAGGAAAACCTTTATGTGTGAGACTGGAACTTGGTTTGAGCATGGTTTTTAAATGTTTCCAGAGATAAAATGGGAAAAGGTAATTCAGAGGAATGGAGAAGAGGAGGGCTAGGATGGAAAGCAGGTCAGAGAGGAGAGAAGAGAGCCATGTGAGCATCATCTGACGATCAAGGCTGTACACTCACAATCCTTGGCCAAAATCAGCCAGTCAGTGTTTAAAAATAATTTGAGCCAACAGTTTTTTAAAAACCAGAAGATGTCACCCAAAGAAATCTAGATTTCTGACTTGAAAAATAAAGTCAGAAAATCTGCTGACTGCCTCTATAGAGAGCTTTGAAGAAAATCTGCTGGGTTGGTGGTTGCTGTTCCTGCAACTGAAACAGGTGTGTGGGCTCTCCAGCCCCTTAGAGACCCGTGTCCCAATGTCCCAATGTCCCACACCCCATTCCCCCAAGGAGTATCTGTATCTCCTTAATTCCTTCACTGTTTCTGGTGCTTATCTGACCCCTGTAGGCATCTGAAATGCTGAGTGCTGCCCGCATAGGATACCATGAGCCCCCATTCCTGACCCCAGCTCAACAGGGAAGGTGAGACCAACACTGAATGCACTTTTCTTCCCTGTCCCTGGGAAAGACGGCTTAGTTGGGAGAGAGAGTCCTTGATCTGGACCTTAGACCAGGATGGGCCTGAGTCCAGAGTGCCCAAGTTTAAGGGGTGAGCAAGGTGAGCCTAACGCTGGCTGCAACAGTCTCTAGGTAAACATAGGTATTCGTGAGCTGCACGAAGCCATGGAGCAAGTGTTCACCTGGGTAAAGGAGAGCTGCAGTCAGCTTTAGAAAGCTCAATAAAGTTGTGCTGGCAAGTGTGTGGAGGACTCTGGATGTAGTTGACAACACAGGACGGCTCATCCTGGCATGGCGAACCTGCATTTCAGGATGCGTGCTTGATTGGGATCCTGGGAATATATTTCAACCAAATTCAGAAGCTGCTCTATGAAGATCATGTCAAAGAGGGGCTGAGCAGTTGTCCATCCTGATCCCTCAGGGTCATTTAAACATGGGTTAAAATCCTGCCTCTTGCACTTATTTGCTGTGTGAACTTGACCAAGTTATTTAACCTCTCTGAGTCCCAGTTTCCCATCTAAAAAGGTATAGTGACAATAGTACAGGGTTAGAAAGCATGTATTTCAGATCAGATGCTGTAACAGTAGACAGGCATAAAGTAACACATTAATAACTATTGTCTGTTATTAGGAATATTTCACTAAGTATCAGACATTGACACAAGCTATAGTTTGTCCACTTCTCTAATTATGTATCCTGTGGTGACTGAGGGCCAAGTGGGTATTGTTATGGACAGAATGTTTGTGTCCTCTGCCAATTTGTTTGACCTCCGATGTGGCTGTCTCTAAGGAAGTAATTAAGGTTAAATGAGGTCTTAAGTGTGGAGCCGTCATCCAATAGTATAGTGTCCCTATAAGAAGAAGAAAATGTAACTGCCTCACCATTGTGGAAGAGAGACAAGAGGCTGGCAGCCAAACAGAGCAGTGGGTGAAATGATCTCTGGGTGCCATGTTGGAAAGGTCTCTGTATTTAATTGAAGGTAACACAGTGTGAAGAGGTACCAGAGAGCTCACTCTCCTTCTCTTCCCTCCATGTGAGGACACGGAGAGGAGGGAGTTGCCCGTAAGCCAGGGAGGAACCCCCACCAGAACCCAACCCTGCCAGAGCCTCGATCTGGAACTTCCAGCCTCCACCACTGTGAAAAATCAATTTCTGCTGTTTAAGCCACCCAGCCTGTGGGGGTTCTGCTAAGGCAGCACTGGCAGATGACGACAGGTACACAGGAAATTGTAATTCCATTACCCAGGAATCATAGTGGAATTTTAAAACAGGACTCATGAAAAGTCAGAGATGAGATATTGATATAATGGGAAATATGTCGCCAAGTGGTGGAAAACTGGGGGTCTCATTCCTAGCTTAGAGTCCTTTAGCCTATTTGGATTTTATTTTCCTCTCCTGTAACTATCAGCCAGGAAGGTGTCAATCAAAATCATCTGGACTTGTGCTATCCAATACATAGACTCCAGTTATTTATTTAACTTTAATTTAAATGTAAATGATTTGAATTATTAAAATTAAAGATCATAATTAAATAAAATCACACTAAAATTAATTAAATTTATTAATTAAAATTAAATAAAATTTAAAATTCAATTCTTCAGTGGCATAAGCCCTTTATCAAGTGCTCAATAGTCACACGTGGCCAGTGCCTCCTATGCTGGACAGCATCTCCTGTTCTGGACAGCACGTATCTACAGCACGCCCAGCATCACAGACAGTTCTATCAGTGCTGAATTCTAGAGCTTGCTACCCGAAACCTGGTCTTTACAAGAGCAGCTTGGGCAGCACCTGGGAACTTGTTAGGAATGCCAACTCTCGGAGGCCACCCTAGACCTTCTGAATCAAGATCTGCATTTTCACAAGATTCCCTCCAGGGATCACATATGCAAGTCTTGGAAGCTCTGAACTACGATTCCCTCCAGCTCAAAAAAGGAAATTTATGAATCTGGGTATCTGCTTGACAAAGTCTTTTAGAAAGAAACTATCTGCTTAGCTTATCAAAATTCCAGTTTGCTGATTTGCCTAAGAGGAAAAAAATTGGAATATCTGAAGGAAGATCAGCAGAATGGCTGCCCCTCCACAGCAAAAAGCAATCAGCAAATGTCTAAAGGAGTGCCTGGAGGGTGGTACAATTCAGCTTCCATCTCTCTCTCTCTCTCTCTTTTTTTTTTTTTTTTTTTTTTTTTTTTTTTTTTTTTTTGTTGTTGTTGTTTTGTTAAGAGAGATGGGGTCGCCGGGCGTGGTGGCTCAAGCCTGTAATCCCAGCACTTTGGGAGGCCGAGGCGGGTGGATCACGAGGTCGAGAGATCGAGACCAACCTGGTCAACATGGTGAAACCCCGTCTCTACTAAAAATACAAAAAATTAGCTGGGCATGGTGGTGCGTGCCTATAATCCCAGCTACTCAGGAGGCTGAGGCAGGAGAATTGCCTGAACCCAGGAGGCGGAGGTTGCGGTGAGCCGAGATCGCGCCATCGCACTCCAGCCTGGGTAACAAGAGCGAAACTCCGTCTCAAAAAAAAAAAAAAAAAAGAAAAGAAAAGAAAAAAGAGAGAGATGGGGTCTCTCTATGTTGCCAAGGCTGGCCTCAAACTCCTGGGCTCAATCAAGCAAATCCCCCAACCTCAGCATCCCAAAGTGCTGGGATTATAGGCATAAGCCACTACTCTCAGCCTCCAGTGCCTATCTCTAAGACTCCCCTCAGCTTGGGCATTCAATCTGTGCCTGAATAACAGAGAATGGACATTCTTCATATTCTATGGCAGCAAAGAAACAACAAGGAATGAGTAGCATTTACTGGGGACCTTTTATCCAGAGAACCTTAAGGTGCTTGCTAAGGTTCCCCTCATTAAACCAAAAGGAGCAGGTAGGCCATATATTCAATTAGGGAAAATGAGGAACAGAGAAGAAATCAATGCCGAAGTCCATGATGCCAAAAGGGCAGACTGAAACATCAGCCTCTGGGCCCATGGGCCTAAATTCTGCTCTGGGGCGTAAGCTGTAAAATAGAAGATACCTTCAGTCCTCTTACTGCAGAAAGTTTTGGTGTCTTGGTGATGTACTGTTCTCAACACAAAAATAAGGATAACATTAGAGCTTTTGGCTGTGAAGAATGCATGTTCCTCTTACAAGACAAAATTGCAGTCGTATATCTTATTTAATTGATATTAGATTTTATTGCGGAATGTTAAAATGTTAATGTGTCCATAAATCTGTTTCATACTTTCAGAAAAATGTCTGTATTAAGAACACACTGTACAAGGATAAAGACAAGAGAAAGGAAAAATGAATCCAGAATATACATTATTAATTTTTTAGGAAGGAAGCAAAATGGTGCTTCATAAAGGAAATTAGAAAAAAAGTTAAGTGGCTGGGATTTCTGATTTGCTTTAAAGAAGAATCTGCTAGTTTGAGACATATTCTTACAGCGTCAACTATTTTGATTCAGGGAACAAAAAGTGAGCAGATAATGGAAATGGGCTTGTGATATACAGGTCAGCTCTTAACAGCTACTGGCAGAAGGTGTGATGTCTCCAGCAGGGACAAACAGTGAGCTGAGAATCTTGTCACATCATGCAGAACCGTGGAATTGGGGCATGGTACAGAGGATAGAGCCTGCCCAGGAGTCAGGGAAGCCTGGCATGAATCCTGCTGTGCCATCTCCACTTTGTGAATGCTGACAAATCCAGCAAGCACTCAAAGCCTCAGTTTCCACCGTGTCATATGCAAAGAGCATCTGCAGGCTTGGGGTAGGAGCAGAGAGATGCTTTATAAAATGTGCCTACAATTAACAAAATGTTAGGCAATTAACATCTTTTGGGGTATCAATCAAATAATGGTTTGAGGTCAAACCCAAAGCAATGACAGAGCAAAGAGTCATGCCTGGGAGGAGAAGCAGCAGCTCCTGACCTGCTGTAGTGCTGGACGTCCTGCCCTCTACCCCCACCTGCCTGCGGAGTCCTCCTGCCTGCGCCCTGTGGCTGGTCTGACTCGGTCCGCAATGCTAGGGAAGGTTCAGGAGCACAGGATCCTATCTCTATCTTCAACCTTCAGTCCAACCTCTGATTCCAAAAGGAAGCAAGCTTGCAGGCAAAAGGAACTATGGCCCTTCCTGGCCCCCATTTTAATCACCATTCTAATTCCCTTTCCTCCTGATGCTGTCAGAACATCCTCATATGTGGGATCTGGACTCTGCTAAGGCCAGTCCCATATATGGCAGTGAACCTTCTTCAACACTCAAGTTTGTCTCGTGTCTCTTTTCTGCTCTGAGCATTTCCATTCAGATTATATAGCAGGAGCTGCAAGCCCTCTCTATTCTTGGTGAAGAAATTTACACACATTTACTCCTAACCTGCCTATTTCCCCCACTTTATTTCTGCCCTTCATTAACCTCATTCGGCCTGAACTCAGAAGAATAATTTCCTTACCTATGGTTGCTCAGTTCACAACCTCTAGCCAATGCCTGGATTCATCTTACATGACAAATGTAATTCACTGGCTCTTACTGTATTCAGCTACTCTGTAAATTCAAACCCGCCCCCCTATTTAACATGAGAAGGGATTTATTTGAGATTGTTTAAAAATTAACCAGTGTCTGCATTAAAATCCCATACATGTGATATAATGCTTATTAGATATTTTCATGTCAATCAAGAGGGAATATCAAATTTATTTTATATGTATTACTCCAAATGAATCCCAGTCTCTCTGAGAACATCACAGACCTAAATCTGTGTGACTGACGGCATGTTAGCAGCTCCATAGTGCCTTCATTTTAATTATTCCAGATCTAGGTAAAAAGAAAAGATGATTAACTCAGTGACGACAAATATTCTTCTTTTCTTTGTAAGAGTCTCAGGAGGAAAGTGTTCTCAGAGGGTCGGGGCGTAAGAGGGAAGAAGCCGTGGTTACAGAGCAGAGACACAATGGCCTCCGTCCAAGTCTGCATTTAAGTTTAGATGCCCTTGGTGTGCTTTCTGGCCTGCAAAATTAGAGCACAAGAAAACAGATGACTATTAAAGAGTAAGCTTGCATAATACAGTTTATTGACATTTCAGCCTATCAGCCTAGGGTTCAACCATTAAGGCTTATGATATAGGGCTGTTGCCTTTATCAATAGACAATGACTCTCTAGCAGACCAGTACAGAATTCAGTGGCTTAAAATAAATCAGCATTTATGATGATTCACGTGCCTATGGTCAGCTGGTGGGCTGGCTGAGGGCTGGATGGTCTAGGATGGCCTCTCTCACATGTCTGGCAGTGGGACGGCTTTTGGCTGAGCTGATGGAATTGCCTGGTCAGGTGCCTTTCATCATTCATCAGTCTAACCTGTTGTGACAGGCTCAATAATGGACCCTCAGAGAAGTCCATGCCCTACTGCTCAGAACCCATGAATATGTTACCTCGCATGGTAAAAGGGACCCTGCAAATGTGATTAAGTCTCTTGAGATGGGGAGATTATCCTGGATTATCTGGATGGGCCCAGTGTATTCACAAGGGTTCTTCTACAAGAAGTGCAGGAGGATTGGAGTCTAGAGAGAAGACGTAAGGATGAAAGTCGAGAGGGAAGATGCAACATTGCTGGCTTTGGGATGGTGGAACAGGGTCTGGGAGCCAGGAAATGTAGGTGGCCTGTAAAGCTGAAAGAGGCAAGGAATCGAGTTCTCCCCCAGTGCCTCCAGAAGGACCACAGCATTGCAGACCCATTTGAGACTCTGAGCTCCAGAACAGTGAGAGAATAAATATGTGCTTCTTTAAAACACTGAGTGGTTATTTGTTACAGCAGTGACAGGAGGGGAATGCAGTGGATTTAACACAGCAGCAGGTTCTGTGAGAGAACCTGCAGCGAGTCCCAGGCCTAGGATTGCCACTGTCATTTCTGCCACATTCGATTGGGCAAAGATCGCACAGCCTACCCAGATGTGAGAGATGGATGAACAGACCCCATCTCTTGATGGAGGAAGGTAGAAGAAGCTGTAAAGTCATATTGCAAGGGAGAGGACTCAGGGAAGAGGAAAGCATGACGGCCATTTTTTGCAGTCAGTGTACCTCCATGCCCTTTATGAAGGTCAGAGGACATTCAAAAGCAATTTCTGACCTTAGTTTCCTTTTCATTTTCAGGACACAGGACACATGGGTATCTGGACCTCAGGCACTGATATCTTCCTAAGTCTTTGGGAGACTTACGTGTCTCCAAGAAGCCCTGGATGGATGGGCTTTATCCAGCATTCGGGAGTTTGCTGTTTAGTTGCCCTTATTTCAGTGGGCCTCCTGTCAGTGGCCTTTTGCTGGTTTCTTTCATCAATCATAGCAGTTGCTGTCTCCTGGATTATCACATGTGTTCTGCTGTGTTGCTCCAAGCATGCACGATGTTTTATTCTACTCGTCTTTCTCTCTTGTGGCCTGCGTGAAGGCAGGAATGCTTTGATTGCAGCTGGCACAGGGATTGTCATCTTGGGACATGTAGAAAATATTTTTCACAACTTTAAAGGTCTCCTAGACAGTATGACTTGCAACCTAAGGGCAAAGAGCTTTTCCATACATTTTCCACTTTTGAAAAAATATATCGAGGCAATTCAGTGGATTTATGGCCTTGCCACTCCACTAAGTCTATTTGATGACCTTGTTTCTTGGAACCAGACCCTGACAGTCTCTCTTTTCAGTCCCAGCCACATACTGGAGGCACAGCTAAATGACAGCAAAGGGGAAGTCCTGAGTGTCTGGTACCAGATGACAACCACGACAGAGGTGTTGTCTTCCCTGGGTCAGAAACTACTTGCCTTCACAGGGCTTTTGCTCGTTCTGCTTGGCACTGGCCTCTTCATGAAGCGATTTTTGGGCCCTTGTGGTTGGAAGTATGAAAACATCTACATCACCAGACAATTTGTTCAGTTTGATGAAAGGGAGAGACATCAACAGAGGCCCTGTGTGCTCCCGCTGAATCAGGAAGAAAGGAGGAAATATGTCATCATCCCGACTTTCTGGCCAACTCCTAAAGAAAGGAAAAACCTGGGGCTGTTTTTCCTCCCCATACTTACCCATCTCGGCATCTGGGTGCTGTTTGCAGCTGTAGATTATCTGCTGTATCGGCTCATTTTCTCAGTGAGCAAACAGTTTCAAAGCTTGCCAGGGTTTGAGGTTCACTTGAAACTGCACGGAGAGGTAGGGGCCCACAAGCACTTCTCACGGTGTATCCTGACCCTTTGCTGGTCTGTCTTGCAAAAGATCATGAACCTCCCAGAGCAGGGCAGTGGCATATTCACGTTTGCATCCGCGGTGCCTGGCATAGTGCTTGGCACATAGAAGGAGTCCAACAAACTTAAACTAAATTGAAGTCATGATGTTCAGGTGTGATTCTGTATTAGTTCCCTGTGGCTGCTGTGACAAGTGGCTTAAAATAACAGTTTATTCTCGTATTGTTCTGTGGGGAGAAGTCTGGAGTGAGTGTCGCTGGGCTGAAATCTAGGTGCTGTCCCCATTCTTTGCATCTTCCAGGTTCTGGTGGCCAGTGGTATCCCTTTGCCTGTGACCCCGTCACTCTCATCTCTGCTTCTGTCATCATGTCACGTTCTTCTTTGCATGTGGAAAATCTCCCTCTGCCTCTGTCTTAAAGAATGTATGTGATTGTATTAGGACTTTCCAGTATAATCCTGGGTAATATCTCTATCTCAAGATCTTTGACTTAATAACATGTGCAAGAATCCTTTTTCCAGATAAAGTAAAACTTTACTTTTTCCAGATAAAGTAAAACAGGTTCCGAGCACTAAGACCTTGTGTCTTTAGGGTGTCATTCAGCCTCCTAAATCAACAAACACTGAAATAACGAAATAAATGTCTCTGATATTGAACGTGAAGTGGATTCCCAAGCAGGACTATCCGGCCTGAACCTAAGAGACGGAATTAGGGCCTGCCTTCCTCTCATCCTCAAACTTGGGCAAGTAGACTTTGAGCACCTTCTCTGAGTGAGAACTTTTCTGTGTATCCTGAGTCCTTATCAAACACAGGAAGGTTCCCAAGGATGTTTGTTGAAAAGGACTCCTAAGTTACCCAGTAAAATGACTGGCTAGTAGCTGGTAGCACTCACTTTAAAAAATGCTACACAGCTATACTTTTTTTTTTTGTTTTTTTTTGTTTTTTTTTTTTAAGCAGATTGGATTGCTAGTTCTCAACCTTAAATGTGTGTTAAGAATTTCCTAAGTTGGATAGAGTTTTAGGCCTCGATTTATTTACATAGATCTTGTTTTAACTGGGAGAGCATTTTAAATAAGCTGGCCCTGTGATTTCAAGATAGGTGGTCCATAGACCACATTTTGAGAAACTCTGGCCTGCCTATTAGAAAGCAAGACGCCTCTAAACCAAAGGCCCTCAGCCTCGGATACAGGGCTGCATCACTGTGGAGCTGAACTAACAGACCAACTCAAGCCAGCTCTTTCCAGAAGCCCCAGAGATTCAGTTTTAATTGGGCTGGGGTGAGAGATTTTAAAACCTCCTCAAGTAATTCTAGTGTGCAGCCAAGATTGAGAACCGCTGTTCTAAACTCCTCACACCAAGAACAAAGCCAGAAAGTTAGCTCCTAATTGCCATCAGATGGATCTATGAAAAATCTTGATTAGCCAGGACAGCATCTGTCTCTGAGCTGGCGCCTCCTGTGTCTTGAAGGATCTGGCTTTCTCTCCTCTATTCTCCCTCTCCCTCTTCTTGACAGCCATGACCAACACAGAAGATGGTGGGGTTGGGGCATCCCATTGTTTATCTTTCCTTTTCCATTTTCTCTGTGGATATTTGTGCTTATGTTGACACTTCAGAGGATCCGGATATTGTCAGACACTTGTCTTACTGTTTTATAAACCCAGAAATTGCGAGGCTGAACCACATGGGGTGGGTATACACATGTGCGGGTGTGTATGTGCATGTGTGTGATGCATACTAGGGTTAAGTACACTAGCCCAGGCTGGCAAAAATAATGCAGGTAACCCCAAAATTCAGGCTTAGCCTAGGAGGCTTCTTGGCTTTGCTTGGGAAAGAATTCAAGAGTGAGCTGACAGTGAAAGAAAGCAAGTTTATTAGAACAGAGTACAGCAAAATCGCTGCTCCATAGGCAGAGAAGGACTGTCCCATAGACAGAGTGGCCCAGAGTAGCACTCATGGATTGCTGATCAGCTATATTTATACCTAGCCTTAATTATATGCTAATCATGTTGTGGGTTATTCATGAGCTTTCTGGAAAAGGGGTGGGGAGTTCCCAAACAATATAAAAAAACAACTTCTGGGTCATTGCCATAGCATCATTTATAAACTGTCATGGTTCTGGTGGGAGTGTCTTATGCAGATTTGTTATAATTAGCACATCCTGATCAGTGAGGACAACTAGAGGTTTTTTTCATCACCATCTTGGTCCTGGCTGATTTTGGCTGGTTTGTTATATCCTGTTTCCATCCACAGGGTCATGACACAGGCTCAGTAAACAAGTCATGCTGATCTCCTACCTCAGAAGCACCAACAGCTGTTTCTTTTTTAAAAAATATATTATTTGTAACTTTTATTGTTATATATAATTGACACAGACTAATTGTACACATTTATGGGGTATCCACTAGCTATTTCCACGGGTCTGATTCCTCAAGCTACAATAGAGGCTGTGCCAGCTGCTGTGGAAATCACAGAGGAAAAACAGCCACAATGTTGGCCACAATGTTGCCTGCAAACCCTCTCATGAAGCCTGGCTTTCCATTTCTCTCTCTACCTCTCAAGGCCTCAAATCTTCCTGCTGCATACACATTTTTCCTCCCCTTTCCTCTGGCTCAGCAGATCTAGTCCCAGGGCTCCTGCCCTCCTAAGCCTGGGCTGCTTCTCAGAGTTGATTATTCTGAGCTCTCTGAGTCCTCTGAAGAATCCTGTTAATTACAAGGCACCCTGTTGCTCTCGATATTTGGAACAGGGTGGATAATGGAAGTAGTGTTTCAACTGAAAGCCAGAGGAGAATTTCAGACATGCTTGATCTTAGCAGGTGGCCAGGAAAAGGGTCTCACTCCTTCCCCCCATTCTCCTCCTGTGTTCTCCTTTCTTGTCTTCCCCCTGCCCCAACCAATTCTCCCTCTCCCCTACTTTTTGCTTCTCTCTCATTTACTTCTATCTCAGCCAGTACCCATGCCTGTTTTGTGAATTCTCACCTTGTTAGATAGAGGGGAAAAAAAAGCAAATTCTGCCTTTCAAAAAAAAAAAAAAAAAAAACCGCTTTCCAATGACAATGTCCTGACACCTTCATCTTCATCTCTGTGCACTGCTGGCTGCTGGGGATGTGAAGATGTCTAGGCTGTGAGGGCTTATGTCCTAGAAAGGAGGTTACCATGTGCACATGTAAAACAGCAGGGTGGTGGGCACTGGAACGGATGTGAGTACGAGACTGCTGTGGGAGCACCTCTCAATCTCTTTCCTGCTGTGCCTGGGAGACTGTGCTGCCAGCAGCTAGCTTCTGCGTGACTTGCGATGCCCTGCCCTTATGCCAGGATGCCCTTGGAGGCTCCTGGTCTTCGCCATTGCCTCACATTCGCCAATGAGAAGTCAAGCAGGAAGAGAAGCACTGGCTGGCTTAAGGCGTTGCCAATATTTCTCTCATACTTTCATACAATTTTAAGTATATGTTTTAAATAAAGAAGATGGGAAATGACCCAAGTAGAGCTAGCTTTGTGGGTGGAGAGTGTAAATAAAAATACCCAGAGTTTCTACTTATTGAGCACCTACTATGTTCACTGCATTTGACTGCATTAATTTTTCAGGACTGGCTGACACCAGAGCCTGCCCTCCGATTCACTGCTTAGTGCTGTGTCAATAAATTGTTTACTTAAGAGAGGAACATACGTAATAAAACATCGGGGTACCACTTAGTATATTGCTTGGCATTTTGAAAGAATTAATCTGTCTTCCATATTACTCTCAACCATTCCCATACAAAACTGTTGACTCAACCTTTCTGAAGCCCTGATTCCCAAATGCAGAATCCCCAGTTAAATTTCTAGACAAAATGACTTCTTCCCAGATCGAACACCCGCTGCTTTCTTATTGCAGGATTTCTCATCACTGACTCAATCGATGTGTTTGTTTCTTCAATCGTATTAAAAAGAGTGCATGTCTTTGCTCTGGGGGCTGAAATCCCTCTATTTAATTGTAGGCAGACTGTCTTTTTAATAAGAGAAACGGAGAGGCAACACAAATGTTTTTCATTGCTTAGGCACAGTGCTGGGAAATTATAGATTTGACTTGACATTCGTGTAGAGGTCCCAGGTTTGGGGTTTCCAAAGTCTTCACAGGCACTGGTGCCCAGTGTCCTCTGGGCGTGGTTGGGTTCCTTTTGAGAAGTCATTTGCCTTTTCTTGGCCCCAGGGCTCTGTAGCACTAGAGTGATAATTACTTACTAAGCACCCCAGTCTGTAAAACTAATGTTCCTTCCCCAAGGTGTTTAATTTACACTGGGAGTAGTTTATTCATGGGAAGGATCTGGTCCATTAACTCCTGTTTTACCAAATTAGAAACAAATCCACTGAGAGATTAAATGACTTTCCCAGGTCAGAGAAAGAAAGAGCTGAATCAGCACACACTTCTCTTACGGGTGGCTTGGCTGGGTGGCTCAATGTCATCTCCTGCCCTCTGTGTTGATCTGCTGAGGGCAACTGGTTTATTCTCTTGCGTTCAGAAAGGAAAGAATGTACCTCTCATGAGCATCCAATAGGGATGAGAAAATTTCCTATTTTTAGGACCTGTGCAAACATGATTTTAGAGTCTCCTTCAGTAACGCGGGCTTGTGAGTCAATGTATCAACCTAGAAGGGGATAGAGTACCCTAAATAGAATAATCTCCTCTAAGCTCCAGAAGGTTGACTTAGAACATGGTTTAATGCCTCAACGTCTTTGCGAACTTGTGGTCTGCTGAAGAGGGATTGACCAGCCTGGGAGGATATAATGAGGTCCTAAGGGGCTACATTCTAAAACATTCTTCTCCTTGAGTGTAGCTGACTGCCCCCTCTTTCTTTTGCCCCATATGTCCTAGAAACAAGTATTCCATGAAAATCAGTTAAGTGATCAAATTTGTTAGGAAAACTGCTGGCTAAAATTAGAAGATTCCTTTGCCTTCTCAGAGCTTTCAATAATCTAACGGGTATTGTGACTTTCAAAAGAAGGGACAGAGTAAAAAACTTATTTAATACACATCTCTCAAGGGAATCTTTACTGTATTTCCACAAACCCACTTTGGAAAACACTGCAATGGTTACAAATAAGATGCATCTCTTCTTCCTTGTTCCAATCATAACACACAAAGGAAGATGTGATAGTTCCTTTGGCCAAAGCTCCCTGTGTATTTGAAGATAGTGCCAGTGTGCTTCAGGGAAGTACTGAGAAAGACAAGGACTGAGTACAAAAATGGCATGCATCATGATTGTTTTGTTCTTTCATTTTAGAAACAAGGAACTCAAGATGTTATCCATGATTCTTCCTTTAATATATCTGTCTTTGAGCCCAACTGTATCCCGAAACCAAAATTCCTTCTATCTGAGACCTGGGTTCCTCTCAGTGTTATTCTTGTGATATTAGTGATGCTGGGACTGTTGTCCTCTATCCTTATGCAACTTAAAATCCTGGTGTCAGCATCCTTCTACCCCAGCGTGGAGAGGGAACGCATCCAATACCTGCATGCAAAGCTGCTTAAGAAAAGATCAAAGCAGCCGCTGGGAGAAGTCAAAAGACGGCTGAGTCTCTACCTTACAAAGGTAAGGCCAAGATGGCAGTGTAACCTCCGGTTGAGGAGGTTTGAGTTTGAGAGGGAAGTGGAAAGGCTACTTCAAAGCACTTAATGCTTCAACTTCACATTAGGACTTACATCCCAGCAGTAGATAGGACACTGGGGGAAAATGAGCAAATGTACATGGCTAGGGCTCTTAACTCTGTGATTTGAATGCTGGTGCAAAGGATACTACAAGATATTCTGAAAATATTGGTTTCAAGTAAGTATTTTCAGTCATATTGTAGAGAGGCGACTGGAGAGGTCCTTAGTGTTGGCTATTAAAGGACAAAGCACAATAAGATATTCTTTCCTAGGTAAAAACAAACAAACAAACAAACAAACAAACAACAACAACAACAAAAAAAAAAAACAAAGGGAAATACCTACTACAGCTTTGTAAATACCAAAGAATATGCTCATTTTCAATTGTGTGTATATGTTTGTATGTAAACAGAGAGGATATATAAAAATATAATCATATATATACAAATATATAAATAAAAACATAATGACTCATACATGTATAAAATGGACATATAGCAAAAATTTTATGTAACTTAATACCTATTTATTAATGCAGGAGTGGTCAGAAAAATTACAACCAAAGAATAATTCAAAGAACACACACATATATAGGCCATCGGGAATACCAAATGAATTTGCTTACTAGATTCAAAACTGCCTTCTTCTTTAAGGGTGGATAGGAGGGATTACTTGTACTCTACTGGCCGGAGTTCATGGGCATGTCATGGAAAACAATCACTTGCATTGTTTCTATCAGTCATCTGCAACTTACAGAATTGGGAAATAGCCCATAGACAATGGAAGACCAACACAACCCACAAGGATAAGCTTCTTCTGTTCATTTCAGTCTTTTGCTGTTTTTACCAATGTCTTTAACCCCATACTGAAAAATTTATGTCAGAGGCATTTGAAGTGACTCCAACTCCAATGCTCATTTATCCACTTTTCTGTCTCTTCAGATTCATTTCTGGCTTCCAGTCCTGAAAATAATTAGGAAGAAACAAGTGGGCATAGCAAGTGCAGACAAGCCATGAGAGACCCCAGGTACTCTTCAGCCACGTCGCATCAGCAGTTCTCAGGTCTATGAAGGCAGTCACTATTCATGCTGGATAACAGAGAACGACATGGTCTTCTCAGGAGCCTGAGTTTGCAGACCCACCTTGCAGAACCTGGTTATGCCTCCTTTCAACTCAAAGCCAAAGAGCTGCCAGATGAATGGTTATGTGGTCTGTCTTCCAGCCAAACCACATGATCTGACCTGTGTCACAATGTTACAGCACTTTAGCTGGGTCCCCTGATGGTGAGTTTCAGCATAAAATAACGTTCAAAGGAAAGAAAACAATAACAATTGAAATCTCTACCACAGCCTCGCAAGCAGATGCCAAAGGGAACATACGTGTATAAAGCCAGCAAACTATCTTTAAACTCTTTGTCCTTCTTAATGTCTTCCATGGCGATCGCCCCCACAGTGGTCTCTCTCTCTTTTCTTTCTTTCTTTCTTTCTTTTTTTTTTGATTGCAGAAATTTATTAAAGTTGGAGACATTGTTTAATCTTCTTGTGCCATGAGACTCGATCAGGCTGTCTACAAGGTACACTGGGAGGCTGAGGATCACTTGAGCCCAGGAGTTTGAGGCTATAGTGAGCCTCAGAAGGTCACTGTACTCCAGCCTGGGTGGGGCAACAGCCTTTCAAGGGGTAAACTGCATGCTTGCTTGCTGTGGTCATTAAAAACCCTGAAAGCAAAGACAACATATTAATCATAAAAAACAATGGTGTGATGCTTGTTGGTACAGTAGTTTCTCCTGCTCTCTTATTAAAGAACTCTTTCTGAAACACATTCCTAGCAGCTCCTGGTTTCTTCTTACTACCACCTGCACTTCTGCCCTCTACTTGCCTCTGTTTTGTTTTCTCCTCTTTTAGCAAATCCTCTGGCTGGTAATTATGACAGGGTGGCCTATGGACCATGTACATCAAAATTATATACAATTCTTGTGAAAATATACATGTGGGCCCTTTTTCACCTTTAATTATACCTCGAATCACTTTTGTTTTTATTATTTTGTTTATTTATTTTGAGACAGGGTCTCACTCTGTCACCCAGGCTGGAGTGCAACGGCACTGTCTCAGCTCACTGCAATCTTTGCCTCCTGGGTTCAAGTGATTCTCCTGCCCCAGCCTCCCAAGTAGATGGGATTACAGGCTCCTGCCATCATGCTCGGCTAAGTTTTTCTTTTTTTGTATTTTTAGTAGTGACAGGGTTTCACCATGTTGGTCAGGCTGGTCTTGAACACCTGACCTCAGGTGATTCACCTGACTTGGCCTCCCAAAGTGCTGGGATTATAGGCGTGCACCACCATGCCCAGCCCTCAGATCACTTTTAACGAGTCACAGGACACGCTGTCTTTATCTGTAAGGAACGTTTGCCCTCAGTCTGAAGTGCTCTTCCCTGTTGGCAGGACAGACTGGAAAGCAGTGCTGTCACCAAAGGCAATTTTGATCTTGAAAACAGGATTTAGACTCACTCATTAGGGCCAATTTCACTTGGATGGAAAATGCTTATTTAATTACAGCTTATTCACTTTCATTTAAATGAATGTTAAGTTAAATTTCTTGAGACACCCATTGTGAAATGTGCTCTGTTAATCTTCTAGAGGCAGAATGGCACTGCCCAAGGCCATTTCATAGAGCACCCTTTTTTCACCTCTAATTTTAATGGCCTATAAAAGTATATTGCATTATCGCCTAAGTCACCATTTCTCATCTCACAAATCTGTCTGGTTCTGCATTTTTTTAGGGGCTATCAAATGTCTTTCTGATGTGCTTACTGACTCTGCTGTCAGTTGAGTTTTCTTTGAAAGTCAGACATGGTAATTCTAAACACCTTCATGAGAATAGGTCTCTTTTATTGTTTTATTTGGGATGTAAAATGTTGTATTTCTTCTTCTCAGATTCTGTATCTACTGCTTTGTCTGTTGGAATCCAATCAATCATAATCATAATGTGGGATAGATATGTTGACATCTTCACATATTACATATTTTTGTCTTAATTCACTTAAGAGAAAGAAGTAAGCATATCTCACCTTAAGAAAGTAAAAACTAGCTTTCTCATCCAAACTAAAAAATAGTGATTCCCCAAAAGTAACAAAGACTACTGAAGTAAATTGTTGAGATTATAATATGGAAGACAGGAATTGGCTGAAAAATTGAGTGTGAGTTGAATGTAGTTATTTGTCTATATTTAAATGCCTGTATTATATTAGGATATATATATAATATAACCCACACACAGTGGGGAGGAAAATTTTAAATTAACAGGTGGCTGAGGCTTTTCCAAGTTTTCCTAGTTCAAAGCCCCTTTTGATTTCAATCCATTGTGGTTTCAGTGAAAGAAAAGGGAGATAAATAACTGGGTAGTCGGGACAATTAACGACCTTTCATTATCTCAATTCTGAGTGTCCATTAACTTCACTTTTGCACTCAGGGAGCAGAAGAAATCAGAATTGGTCATTGGAGCACTCTGTCAAATGCAAATAGAAAGCAAAAAAGGCAATGACAGAAATAAAAGCATAACAAGCCACAGTCACTTCAATTAAGGCAGAAGGTGTTCGCACCGCTTTCCTGGATGCTGAGGAAATACATAGTGTGGTGAGTGAGGTGCCCCTGCCCCTGCACTCAGCCTCCTTTGGCAAAGGCAATGAAAAATGTGCATACTGACCAAAGCGTGGGACTCAGGAAGTGAACAGGTTTAGAGGACATAAAGGAGGACCAGGAAAGGCTGAGGCAAAGATGCAGACCTTGCCTGCTCACTTGTTCTCTAGGGTAATGGTTTCCAAGCTGGCTAATCATCAGAACCATCCCCAGAGGTTAAAAAATAAAAATAAAATTACAGACGCCCAAACCTAAACTCAGATGTATTGACTTAGGTAGAGGGAGGGTCCTGGAAATCTGTATCCTAAGGAACTTCATGGGTGATGCAGATATTAGGTCTGTTTGTTAATTACTGGTTTAGAGAATGCAGCAAGCCTTGGAGGGAGGGATTGCTGATTAAATAAAAACACATTTACATGGTATTTATGTAATTATCTGTGTAAACATACATTCAGGACTTTGATTCTACCTGTTGCTGAGCCATTAAATTTCTCCAATAATGCAAAGCAATGCAAAATGCAAATTTCTTCTAAGAAAATGTATTGTTTTCATCATCTGCTGTCCAACTCACTTACTTATGTAAACAAGCACCACAACAAAACCCATGACAACACCATGAATCATACAATTTTAATCTATAGATTTTTTAAAAATATGATTTGGTTCCAATATTATTTTTTAATTAAACTATTTCAATTTAGAGGATAGTATAGCACTTTCCTAAGAAAATGGAAAGTAACCTTGCCTATATCAACCACATGATATAATAGAAAGAACAGAGAATCTTAGAATGGAGAAGGCTGGATTCAAATCCTCATTCTGCTAATTGTTAGGGACATAAACTTGGCAACTCAACTCTTACCTCTCTGAGCCTCAGTTTTCTTATTTATAGAATGTGGCTGAAAATATCAGTCTCCCAGCATCTTTTTGAGAATTAAATGAGATGACATATATAAGGTCTCTAGAATACTTCCTGTCTCAAATTAGATAAATAAAAGTTAGCAATGTTAGCTCTTTTCTTTCTCTTTCTTCTTTCCCAAAATTTCCTGTTCAACCCCACTTTCTTCAACTTTTGATAATAGAGTCTTATACAAAAAGAGTGAAAACAACAACAACAAAAAAAGAATTTCAATCAAGCTTGATATACAATAAAGGGTTGGCAAACTTTTTCTGTGAAGGGCAAGACAGTAAATATTATAGGTTTTGCAGTCAGAGTGGCTCTGATGTAACTACTCAACTCTGCCATTGTAGCAAGAAAGCAATCATTGACAATAAGTAGACAAACAAGCATGGCTATGTTCCAATAAAACTTTATTTGCAAAAACAAGTGGCAAGCTGGACATGGCCTGCAGTTATTCTTCAACATCTGATAATACAGAAAAGCTTTTTAGAAATACATGAGTTGTTGAGGGACATGATGCAATGGGGACTCAGTCAGAAAAAACACGGTTCAAAATCTCTCTTTGCTACCAACTAGCTGCATGACTTTACAAGTCATGTCACCTCTCTGAGTTCAGTTTTCTCATGTATAAAGAGCAAGACGTTTAGCTGAAGAATCTCTAAAATCTCTGCCATCTCTTTAGGCCTATGATTCTTTGGGAGACAGCAGTGTCCTGGAGAGAATCACCAAGGGACTGTAACCCAAGTTTCAGCATTTGATTTGTTTGTTCTTTCACAGTTGATCAATTAATCATAAAGAACAACAGAAGCTCTCCAGTCCTAAGTACAATTTATTTGATGAAAAAGGGAAAAGATAACATTTGGTCAAAATAAATGTTATTTTCTCCACAGACACAAAGAAGCAATCAGAATAGTTATTCAATTCTAAATGTCATGTGTAATTTCATATGGCTTAAAATTAGTCTGCGATGTCAGTGGCTGAAGACCTGAAAATTGAAAGTCTTGCTTTTTTCAAATCGAGAAGTACTGTCACTGTAAATGTGATATATTAATTAGGAAGTAAAGTAAATCAATCAAAAATTGTTTTTCCAAAGGAAACCATTGTGGAAGTATGTTTGTACTGAAACAGTAGGTGTGCTATGTCTTATAAGAAGAAATGTTAAATATGCACTAGAAAATAAATAATAAGTTGTTTACAAACACATGTTTAAAAGAAAGGGTACTGAATTAAAAATTGGAAGAACTGGTCTCTATCTGATACTGCTACCAAGTAGCTTAGCCAAGGCACTTCTCTTTCTTGACTCAATTCAGTTATTCATAGAAAATGTAATAATAGTTATTAGTTAATAAGCCCTTACTAGGCACCAGACACTGTTTTTAGTGAATTATTTCATTTAATCCCAACCAAAACCCCATGAGAAAGGGTGTGCTGCTATTACTGTTTTATAGACGAGAAAACTGAGGCACAAAGAGGCTAACTTGCCCGCAAGTTATCTGTAACACATTGAGAAACCTCTGTTGTCATTCATGATCCCTTTCTCCAATAAAAAGCCGATTCCTAGTGCAGCGATATCTACACAACGAGAAAATCGTTTTGCTGAAAAATCAACATAATTCTAAAGGGTCCTTACTGTTCTAAAGAGATTTTTTTATAGTGCAAAAAATCATGGGATCATTAATTCAGCTTACAAAATGAATGATTTCTCTGTCCACATTCTTCAACCATGAAATCCTAGACAATTTCCAGAAAGCTGTGGCCCAGAACACCCCGATCCCACTCAGAACACTATTTATAAGAATGCCCCGTATGCAGTAGTCTTTACAGTTTTTC